GTTATGTGCATAATGATTACATAGTTAACAATAATCTAACTATCTTTAGGTGCATCAACAATGAGGGCCTCATTGTGATCAAGCCGTACGTAAGTAGGTTCGTCACCCTCTTGAATGATAGGTAGGGGTACGTTCGCCCCGAATGGAGGCATTTCCTGATAGCCCCTGTAGTCTTCATCGTTCGTCACTCCATCGACACCGACAATCTTCCTTTTCCCTTCTAAGACTACTTTTAGCCTTCCTTTTTTCATGTTATCCCTTGCATAGAAGACTTGCATAACATCTCTTGCAAGGACGAAGGGGTTGTCTTTCTATGCGGTCTTAGTGAGATCAACGGTAGTAAACCCTTCGCTGTTAGTGTTGATTTCCTCGAGCTGGACCCACTGGCAGCGAAAAAGAGCTGCCTTCAATGGACCATAGACTAGCTCCCATATCTCCTCTATGAAACCATAGTATGTCGCCTACACATTGCTTTTTTCATCGTGAGCATCAAAACGAACACCACAATTTTGGTATGTGCTCTTTCCATCTTGCTTTTTTGTGTAAAATGTGAATCCATTGATCTCATACCCTTTGTACTTAAAATATGTACTCGAAGGTCCCTTGACTAAGGCATCAAGTTGATTACCCAACTTTATTCCAAGCAAGCGATGTCGCAACTAGTTGACAAATTCCTCCTTATGTTTTTTATCTAGCCAAGCCTGTGACCTGCTCGGATACAGAGTTTGCAGTGATTGTCTGTGCTCGTCAATGTATGGCATCACACCCTCGGCTTGCTGGAAAACAGCGAACTGTGCCTGTCTGAAAGAAACAGGGTCGTCTACTATAACAGATTTCTCCCCAATCGTTCCTTTGCCACGTAGTCTTCCCTCATGACGAGATTCTGGAACTCCGACCCTTTTGATGTTCAGATAATATGTGTAGAACTCAATGGCCTCCTTCATTGACCATCCTTCAACCATGCCCCCTTCTGGCTCGAATCTGTTCCTAACATACCTCCTAAAACTTTCATCAATCTTTCGAAAGGGAACATCTGATGCAGGTACATTGGGCCAAGGGCTCTAATTTGGTGAACAAGATGAATGAGCAGATGCAATGAGATATCAAAGTAAGTCAGCGGGAAATGCATCTCAAGCCTAACGAGAGTTTCGGCTATGTCCCGCTGCAACTGCTGTAGCGTGGACACATCAATGACCTTTTTTGAGATTGCGTTGAAGAATGAGCAAAGCTTTATGATTGGGGCGTGGACCTTTGGGGGGAGGATACCCCGCAGGGCAACAGGGAGCAGTTGAGTCATAATGATATGACAGTCATGGGCCTTCATAGGGCCATAGTTGAAGTTGAGTTCTCTCATGTTCACTAGTCTCTTCGGGTTCGCACAGTAGCCCATCGGGACTTTGAGTTCATTGAAGAAAGAAATAAGCGCATACTTTTCTTCCTTCTTCAATGTCCATGACGCAACCGGAAGTTCAAACTGGCCATTCTCTAGCTCCACGGGATGCAGCTCCTTCCTGATTCCTAAGTGTTGCAAGTCTAGGCGTGTGGCTAGTGAATCCTTCGATGTCCCATCGGTGTCCATCAAGGTGTTAAGAGTGTTAGCGCACACGTTTTTAGTGATGTGCATGGGATCAAGATAGTGGCGTACACTCAGAAATGGCCAGTAAGGTAGTTTCCAGAATACAAATTTTTTCTTCCAAACGCTCCCATCAGGCGCTGCTACAGCATTGTCCCCCTTCCCAAGGACAACCTCTAGTTGTTGAGTTCTCGAAGTATCGCAGGCCCATCTCGATATTTTGGAGCTAAGCGTTTCTCAATAGTACCGTTGAAATCTTTTCTGTTCCTGCGGTAAGAGTGATCCTTAGGTAGGAACCTACGGTGTCCCATATAAACTATCTTTGAATTATTTGGTACATTTACCGCATCGGTGTCGTCCAAGCACTCGACACATCCAGTATAGCCTTTTGTCTTCTCTCTGGACAACGAACCTCGACCTGGCAGATCGGTGATTGTAGCGATAAGTACTCCCTTGATCGTGACATGTTCCTTTTTATACTCGTCCCAAACATCCGTCACACCCTTTTCAAACATCTCCACTAGTTCATCGATCACTGGCTCTAGAAACACATCAATGTCATTCCCAGGTTGTCTTGGCCCTTAGATCAATAGTGGCATATGGATGTATGACCGCTTCATACAGACCCAAGGTGGAAGGTTGTATATACAGAGCGTCACTGGCCAGGTGCTATGATTGCTTCTAACCTGGTCGAAAGGATTCATCCCATCTGTGCTCAAAGCAAACCAAAGGTGCCTTACCTCTCCACCGATGTCCTTATAGAACATAGTATTGATAGTCCTCTAGTCATGCCCATCGGTGGGGTGCCTCATCATTGTATCTTTCTTACGCTCTTCGCCATGCCAGCGCAACAGCTTGGCTGACTTTGCACATGCAAACAGCCTATGCACCCGGGAAGCTATAGGGAAATACCAAACGACCTTTACGGGACCTCCTCTGGTCTTGGTACCCTCATCTGACGGCCCTTCCTTGTACTGTGCAGCTCCACACTTGGGGCACTTGTCCAAGTCTTTGTATTTTTCTCACCGGTACAATATGCAATCATTGGAACACGCATGTATTTTTTCAACCTCGAGGCCGATGGGGCAGATCATTTGCTTGGCCAAGTATGTCTTTTCTGGCAACTCGTTTTTTTCTGGGAGCAATTTCCTTATTATACCTAACAACTGATCGAAGCCTTTATCGCTCAATCCGTTTGTCGATTTGAACTCTAACAGCATGATGTCGGCTTCCAGTTTGCTCATTGGACAATCCCTATACAATGATGTTTTGCTATCTTGTCTCATTTTCTCTAGCTTTCTCAGCTGTCTTTCACTAAGACATCCGGTCTCTACATTACGTAGCAGCTGAGAAATGCCATCGTTATCCTCGGTGTCGTCAGCTAGCGTGTACCTAAACACATTATTAACTGTGGGCATAAGTTCCGTGTTGACACCGGGTTCCTCGTCACCATCGTGGATGGCTACGTCAGGCATATCCACATCATCATCGTTTTCCTGCAGAACATTCACACCAACCTCGCCATGCATAGTCCATATCGTATAGTTTGGCATGAACCCCTGGTAATCAAGTGCGATCGTATAGACTCAATTTGACGAAAGTTCCTTTGATTCTTGCAATCTTTGCATGGGCAGAAGACAGGGTTCCCATTCTCAGCATGGGCTTTGGCATCAGTGATAAACTGGCTGACGCCATGCATGTACCGCTTGTCCGTTCGGGACAGATGCATCCACTCTCGATCCATCTCTGCACAAAAAAAATACTGAGACAGTGATTACAAAGAATTAATAAGAAATCGAGCTTGATGAACAACAATTGTAGCTCGAAAGTACCATTTTTGGAAAACATTATTATACACTAATTATTGAAAATTTGAAATTGGTAGCCTCGGCCCTGTAAATTGAAAATTGTAGTAAAAAACAATTATTGCACAATATTGAAGAACAACTATTCTACTCTACTTCTAAGAACTAATTATAGCATCACATACTAACAATGATGATCTTGACCACCATGGAATAATTAGCCAAGAATTTAAATGTGTTCATAGACACCAACCGTTTGGATGATGGATTCACCACAATTTGAGCCTTGCACAAATGTCCAATTGGAAAAGTGCTCTCTAGAATAGAGAAAGTACTAGAATAAGAATCAAGCAATGTAGCCATCAAAACGAAGCTAATTAAGCAACTAAATCAAATGAGTGGATGTTTGTTACTAACCTTAAAGCAAAAAGATCAAGCCATTCTTCAAAATTCAAACGCTAGCTTCATGGTGAAGAGCAGCCGCAACAATGGAGGGAAGGGCCCAAACGCGCGCCTCTGTTCTCGGGATGGAAGAGAGGAGGAAGAAGAGGACGGCTATAGCCTTTTGTGCTGTAGGCTTATCACCGTCGGTTTTTTGCTAGAACCGACAGTAATAGAGCCCAATCACTGCCGGTTTGTGGCTTGAACCGGCAGTGATGAGTGGCCACCAAAATACTGCCGGTTCAAGCCACAAACCGGCAGTGATGCGGTGCTTCACTGCCGGTTTTAACCTAGCCCCAATCATTTTCTCATTTTCGGGCTCATAACCGAGAGTGAAGGTACATCACTGCCGGTTCTCACAAATCCGGCAGTGATGAGGCCGGCAGTGATGTCCAAATCTGGCGTAGTGATGGTTCTGCCAAACATGGTGATTTTTCTATCCACCTATTATTAAATACATGTGATGCTTCTCGGAATGCCTTTTACTTTAGAAGAGTGGCTACAAAGAATTTTAGAGTTTTTTTATCTGTGCCACAAGCTCCAAAGTTCATATATATGTCATTGTGGTCAAGTGTTTAGGAATTTTCTTGCAAAATATGGCTGTAGGGTGCAGCCTAATGATTAAGGTGATTCTCCTTTCCTGTCATAGAATCTCCATGAGAACACCGAATTTGTTTGAAGAACGAGTGAAAAAACTTTCACATTATTTTGATAAGAATATGTGTTCTTGTTTGACACAATAGACATGCTTGAACCTTGGAACCTTTATGCAAGCTCTGAACCTACACAAGCCAAACTCAGAATTCCCATCTGCTGCAACAAGAAGATACATGTGGTACCTCTCATACTGTGTTTGTGAGGAATTAAACATTTTCAAAAGTCTGGAAGTGCAGCTGTAGGTTCTATAGTTATGGCATTCACAACAATGACCACTCACAACTCTGTTCCCATCTAGGATCAGAAAGACCTTAAAGTCCAATATAGTCTGGTTTGGTAGGATATGGTCTTGGAAATGTCATATACTAAGATGTCATATTCATAGATGAGATAATTTAAAAAATCGCAAAAATACTAATATCCAAAAATCACAAGTTGCAGGTAATTTCATTGTTGGTCAACTGATCTTTGATTGATTGCAATAGCTTCGGAAGGGCGTTCATTATCTAAAAAAAAGATTCGGAATGGCATTGTATTCTTGCGATCATCAGGTACGAGCAGATTAAGATTTCACAATTACTTTTTGCAGGGTTTGGTTTTCTGGAGTAGGAAAGGGAGGTAGAGGTGGAGACCAGGGTTCAGCGATACCACCACAAGAAAGCACGCCTATTGGAAGAGGTAACTGATCAATATACGATGCTTTGGCTTTACCAAACACGAAAAGCACAGAACTGCATAGCATGGCATAGCTCGTGCTCTTGTTTGTTTCCTGTTCAATCTGTGTTGAGTTATCCAATTGTGTATCTAGAGACCGAGCATAACAGACTGTCACATAGGAATTGTATAGCTGTCAAGCTATCAAGACCGGCTGACATGCACATGGTGCATCCAGCGCAGATTAACTCTTGTACTTTATGGATGTTTTTTAAATCCTTAAGCATTATGTGGGGTTAGAATAAATCTGCAGAGTTGTTTGCGGGAGATGGCTTGTCAATCTTGTGATGCGTAGACAGGAAAAGGACAAACTATATCCTTTTTCATTGAGATGGAGTGACTGTAGTTCATATATGAGCCATTGATAGTTGTGATTTAGAATTGTTTGGTGAGCCATAATGTAGCTTCCTATAAAATGGGAATATTCAAAATCCATGTGAAAGTTCAATTTTGTTTACTTCTAACAATGAACTAATTGTTTCCTGTGACTTGGACTGTTGGAGGAATGTTGGCTAATTTCCCGTGTTTTCTAGAAATAGGCGGATTGCTGAAGTAAAGGAGAAGGAATAGATAAGGACTTTGGAGGAGATACTCTTATGCTCTGGTTGTTCAGAAGTTTGTTGAAGCTGGTGTTTCTTTGGTTCCAGCACTCTCACACTCCGTCGATTCTTCTGGAGGAGTTGACCACTGTGCAGAAATTGTGGAAGAAAAGCTTCAACATTTGCACTCGCCTGAGGCCTATGAAATGACCGAGAATCATCTTGCTCTCATTCTGGGGCAGCGTCAAGGAGATGCCATTATTGCAGCCATATGTAAGCTCCAAGTTGACCAGGTCTATGCTGTACCTGTGATGTATGGTTATTTCCTGAAGAGATTTGGTCAGATATTTCAGCTAGAGAAGACCATGAAGAGCCTCCCTTGGGGATCAAAAGAGGAAGATGGTGCTTTGAATCAAGTTATGATGACTGACTAGATGCCTTCAGCTCAGGCTTCTATCATCCAGAGATAGGCTCATGGACTGCATCTGATTTCAGCGCAGGAGGGCCTAGACAATCTTCTGGTTTCTGACTTTTGGTGCAATAACAGATCAATATGTTTTTGTGACCTAAAAAGGAGCAATTAACTGAAGAAATGTTAGATCTCATAAACAGTAATATGAACACAGCGCATCAAGCAGATCAATTCATGGTTAGCAGTTAGGGCTTAAGGCGCTGTAGTTGTCATACTAGGATCATGGCCATGCGTTGTATTCTACGATTAGAACCTATGCCATTTCATTATTTGATAGTTAGTTATGTATGACTGCTATTGATTTATTCTGACTTTATTCAAGCCTCCTTGACTGATGAGCATTGCTATTTGACATTTTGTCATATTCTCTTTGTTTATGGCATCGTAACAGACCATTGGGCTAAAGCCAATTGTGTGATATTTTCCAGCAAAACCTAAGCTGTTCCAGTTGAATTTATATTGTCAGTTAACAAATGAATCTTATTAAATGTGCAATGTTCAATCTCTTTCGGTTTGGCTTTTCATGGTTCTCACTGGATGGCCACCTTGTTGCAAAGATGGTGTCATACTGCTTCGTCATGCTCTTCTTGTTGGTACTGTTATAATCTACCTAGCATTATTTCTCTGTTAAAATTGAAACCAGAAACTTTTGGGCTGACTATTTCCTCACGGCGGCCTAGAAGCACACCGGCAGTAGTGTGGATGCGAGGAATGAAAGTTGAGGGCACCGGCAGTAGTGTGGCTGCGAGGAATGAAAGTTGACGGGCAAGAGGAAGATGATGAAGTTGCGTTGGCTGTGAGGAATGGAAGTTGAGGGCACGCAAAAGAAAGACGATGAAGTCGTATTGTTTTGTTCCTGTTGCAATGCATGGGCATGATCCTAGTACAGAAAAAAAGCTGAAATGTATGCTTCAGTTCAGTTTTACTATCCTGTGCTGATTTCATATGAATTTTTATACAGCAAAATGGTGGGGTAATTATGGAACACAAGTTCCAGCATTACAAAGGATGGCCATAAGGATCCTCGCTTTGACTTCTAGTTCTTCCGGCTGTGAAAGAAGCTGGAGTTGTTTCGAAGGCGTAAGCTTCCCAATATTCTCTAAATGTGTTTGCGTGTTTCAGATTTGATTAATACTAAACCTGAATTGGCTTTCTGTGTTGTAGAATCACACAAAGAAAAGAAACCGGCTAACTTGTGAGCGTCTTTGTTCAATATAACAACAAGATGAATGGCAAAAGGCAGAAAACAAAGAGCAACAAGATGTTGGATCCTCTTCGACAAACAGAATCGACACATGCTCAAGGGTGGCTGATTGAAGGCGGAGACGAGGACTTAGATAGTGAGCCGGTTGTTGGGCTAACTAGGAAATTAATTGAAGAATCATGTGCAGAAGAAGATGTTACAAGGCTCCGTAGAAGTGCAAGGCTGGCTCAGGTGAGAGATGTTGATAGATGAGTTCCATTCTGAGGGTGAAGCTGAACCAATCAATGAGGAAGAAATTGATTTTGAGTCTGACCCGGAGGATGTGCTACCAATAATAGATTGTGAGGGAGACGGAGAGAATGAAGATTAGTCATCTAAGTTTGTCATCCATGACCCGTCAGCCTCACCTATTTATTTTCTAGCATTATGTGTTAGTGAGAATTCTGAACCATCTCCTCTGTCTCTGTCATCTATTTGTGAGAATGAAACTATGAGAGTGACGCAGAGCATGTTCATATTCTATCACTTGTGTTCAGACGTTCAGTACTACTTATGTTATTTCATCATATAATTTTAATGTGTGATCATGTGACAAACTGAGAACTACGTCATATTGTCTATTGTAGTATTGTCTAATGATCTATGTCATTATATTATATGTCTATGAGACTATACTTTATATGACTGTGTATAATTGTACGTATAATTATTTATTGTCAATGTCAATTTTTCAACTGTCTTCATGTCTCAGATTGCACTTAAAAAATATATAAAAACTGTAATTTTATATGTATATTTCCTGCTACAGTGCAAATCGCTCAAACTCCGGTCGTTTAAACCGTCTAAACGCTAAACAGAGGGTGACCGACTGTTTAACGTTTAGCGTCTAGGATACCATTGGCTGCAGCATAACCAAGACAGCCACAAGACACGATCAAAGGTTTGTGCATACTGGTTACTACCACGATACTTCTGCTCCACCAGACAGATCGATCAAAGCTCGCTGCCTGATGGTTGCTACCAAAATACTTTTGCTCCACAGCACACACCCTTCTCAAACATGCTGGTTGCAGCACAAATGCATATTACCATGAATACATATGCTGGCTCCACAAAATACTTCCAACCATCACTAGTCAATGCCATCACTGTTGTGGTCTAGGTTGCTAAAATATGAGAGGATCCATTTCCAGTTGCCCTCTACATCAAAAAGAAATGATCTGAATATATTTACATTTGGCACATGAACCATGAAAGATGGAAACAAGAGTCATATTCATGTTTGGTGCGTATATAGTAAATCAATACTTGTAGGAGCATAAAAAATTCAGAATGGTCGAGTTGTAGGCTGGTAATCGTATCACCAGTGATGTAACAGTTATTGTGATTCAAAAGGGTTAGTTAATTCTGGTGGTATGCATATTTGAACCTTTTGACAAATGAGCTGCAAGCAAAGTACCAATATGATTCATACATATTTTGGGCATAAGGCTGCAATCAGATAATTGACCAAAGTAGAATTGTACCTCAAGTACAGCCTGCTAAAACAGTAACTAACAAGCATTCTAACGGTAACTAAAGCAGTAAAAAATTAACCTGATATTAGCGGTAACAATTTTCTATAGACCAAATAAACTAGTACTCACAATCGGTCCATAGAATATCATCACACCCTACTAATTTTGCAACAGCTAAAGTCTCATTAGAATATATGTTGAGATTAAGTTCTCTCCCAAAACAAATTAAGACCAGATAATCAAGGACCAGGAATTGAAAGGGTGAGGGTGATGCTCACCACTGGTGCTGCACCACACGCCCAATACATGTTGAGACAATGCAGATTTGTAATCTAAGAATGATTGTGCAGATTTGTTTCCTAAGAATAATGTGACTAGCAATCATTTCAGAAGCACCAATACCACTACTGCCCAATACAGGATCTGTAATTTTGAAGGCAGAGAAAAAAGTAACAACAATAGAGAACTTGATCAATTTACCTCTTAGAAATTTACAGCTCACGTCACATCAGAGTCTGCAGCACATGATTAAAAAAATATTGGTATCCATCTTTCCAGCAAGATATATGAGATAAAAACATCATAGTCGAGAGAAAAACGGTTTGCAGTAGTGATAGCTTGAGCATGAGATCCTATAAAAGTCAACTACGAGGAAAAATCAAGTGTGCAAGGTAACTTACCATGTCACTTTATGCTTCCTTAAGCATGTCAGGTGGTATCTCTATTTGTTTTTGGTCAGCAATGCCTACAAAAAAAAAGTACCAACATGATAGTCTGGGCAGTAGGCACTTCAAACTAAGAATACAGAACACCATGAACATCAGATGATGTACAAGTCACCTAGAGCTAACATGAGTTGCACCAAAAATGAATAGTGCATACTTAACAAAAAAAATGTACACCAAAATTCAGTTTTAGACCCAGATTTGTTTTATAAAAGAATTCACCCATATTAGTATGATATTAGAAATGAGTACATTCACCCATAGTAGGCATCAGCTTTTACAGTTAGAAAAGCTAGATAGATACAGCTAGAATAAACTTGGATGAAGTGAGGAGCGGTCCATAAAAAAAGAGAGTACTGATACACATGCAATGGATTTACATCAGTTGTAGTGAGTCTTGGCACTATCCATTTGAGGGTAGAGACTACAGAGTGAATGAGCATATAATTTCATTAACTACTAAGAAGTTCATCTCATTTTGGCACTATCAACAACAAATTTTCAGGTGGGCACCGCAAAATCCCAGGCACCAATACCCTACACACTAATGGGTGTGCAGATCAGATCTGAAGCCCCTCTTAGGTTGGGGATGAGCTGAGAGGGAGAGAATTAATAAACGTGAAAAGGCTGCTGACCGCTCGCTATCGCCGCTCACCGCCCGGTGCCCGACCGCTCAGCTTCCCGACTCCCGGTTGGCAACGCCCCGACGCAGATCCGCTCAGCCCCACCCCGGCCGTCGGAAGCTCGCGGCACTGCCGGACCTGGCGTCGCTTTGCGCCGCCCACAGCGACACGGGCATTGGTGGCGGCGGCGCAGGTGGCAGGGGTGGCAACGGCCGATGGCTGCGGCATGGCGGCGAATGTCTGTGGGGCGGTGAGGATCGGAGCAGCCGAGCAGGAGAGGGGATGGGGACGCCCATGGCTGCGACGAAGTGAGGGGAAGGCGCTATGGCCGCAGGATAGCTTCTAGCGAATGGCTGTAGCGGTGGAAGAGAAAAGTTTGGGGGAACGTGAAGTGGGCGCGTTTGCGCCGCACGCGGTTGACCCGGCGCTCGCTCGCTAGCTCGGGCTACACGGCCATTTACATAGGGCGTGATTTGTAGGCCGAACCGGACCGTCCCTGTACTGTTGTCTGACCTCATTTATGCGGCGTGTTTGGTTGTTCTTCTTGTACCTTTTGTCTGTATTCTTTCATTCATCTGTCCTCTTCTATCTCGTACGACTTCGTCTTCTCAATTTTCATTTCCTTCTCCATGTAGGATGGCTTGATTCAGGCATAGCGCAGAGATCCATGTGTCATACACTCAAAACTCACATCCATGCATGCAACCAAACAAGATGTCATCTTATACTGGACCAACAACAGAGACAACCAAACACGAGTGAGTGCACAGTTTGAACATGCATCTCACCATCCTAGACCGGCTCTCTATCCCGGCTCCCCCTCATCAAAGCAACCAATCAAACCCATATTTATCATTATTATAGATGAGTCCCTGACACATGAGCCATGGAGA